ATGTCAGAGGGAGTGTAGCGGCGCGGTGGCGGCCGCGGCGGCGCCAGACGCTTTCCCGCAGCCAGCGACGCCTGGGCAGCGCGGCGTGTCGATGACGACCGCCGCGATGAAGCGGATGCTGGCCGCCGAGCAGAAGGCGGCCGAGGCGGCGGCCGAGGGGGGCGGCACGTCGCAGGGAGGGGCGGCGGAGAGGGCGGACTCGACGTCGCCGCGCTTCACGGTGGGCGCCGCGCCGGCGAGGGAGCCGGGCTCGCGCATGACGCGCGAGGAGCTGGCGAGGATAAAGGCGGAGGCGAAATCGTCGGCCATGGACACCTCCGGCGGGTGACGAGGCGGGGCTTGGGGGATGAGCTGTGACGATGTGCCGGGCGGGAGCGGGAGCAGGTGCCACTCTAAGCGCGCAACGCTCGCGTGGCTCCGGCCTCCGCAGCTCCGCACACCTAGCTAATGACCTAAAACACTCTGGTGGCGATGTCGCAGTTGCGGGTTGTGCGGTGGATTTTGTGGAGACAGGAGACAGGTGGCCTCAGTTAAAGTACAAACTCCGAACATCCATCACGTCTCACCTCGCCCCTCTCACCAGCTCATCGAGCGACTCGCGCAACACTTGCGACAGGTGCAGCTCGACGAGTCCGCGCAGCTGCTCGGAGAAGGCGGACGAAAGGGCGCGCCACAGCAGCCCCGGCGGCCCAATCTCGTCCTCCGGGTCCAGCACCGCCGCCGTGACGTGTCCCACTCTCACCTCCACCGCCGTCACGCCGAGCCGCAAGGGCGACGCCGCCTTCCGCGCCTTTGCCTTCGCCCTGGAGTCCACCGCCGCCGCCGCCGCCGCCCCCTCTGCCGCCGCAGCGCCGCCGCCGGCCTCACTTGCCGCAGTGCACTCGGCGGCGGGCGGCCCCGCCTGCGGAGGCGCGTCCTCCTCGCCACCGCCCTCCTCCTTGCCGCTCAGCGAGAGGGCCTGCAGCGCGACGCGGCGGGAGACGGGCGGCACCGAGAAGGTGACGGCGAGGCGCACCCCTTCAAGCGAGGCCGAGAGGCGGCCCGCAGTCCCGACCGACGCGCCAGGCAGGCCGAGCGGAGTCAGCAGCGCCTCGACGAGCATGGACGCGTTGACGGTCTCGAAGTCGGCGGCCGCCCTCACGGCGCGCGCGCCCACAGGGGTGAAGGTAAGCTCGCCTGACGCGGGAGGAAGAGGGGTGAGGACAGCGACGAGGCATCTCGAGATGGCAGTGCTATCACCAAGAGAGCGGAGCCCAGTCACGCGCAGCTCAGAGGCGTTCAAGTCGGCGTGAGCGAGCCGCGCTGGCGCGTACAGCCGCTCGCCCTGCAGTGGAGAGAGGGACGACTGTGGACTGACGTGCGGCCGCGCGAGACTCGCGGCGGGCTCGCGCGCCTGGACGAGCTCTCCCGGTGGCAGCATCGTCTCGGCCATCTCAGCCGCCACGCGCACCGCCGGCGAGACGAGCAGCCGCAGCAGCGAGAGGAGCGCTCGGCCGAGCCGGGAGTCCCACTCGATGTCGGCAGAGCCACCAGCAGCGCCTCCGTCGGCCCAAGCGTCGAGCGCGGAGCGCGCGAGCGCGCGAGCGAGCGAGCCTGCCGCGCTGGGAGGCGGCGGAGCACGGCCGACGGTGGTGCTGGCGACGACGAGGAGGAGCACATAAACGAGCCTCATCGTTGGTCGTCAGCTATGCCGCCGCCGGCGAAGGAATTTTCTTTTTCTCTGTCCCGTCCCGCGGGGCTGTTCTTCACATAAACGCACAACCCCGGGCCCGAAATCGCAGAGAGACAGTCACGCAACACGGGGTCCAGGGAAGGCTGTTCTTCACGTAAACGCACAACCCCGGGCCCGAAATCGGCTGTTCTTCACCTTCATATTACATATTCCTTCTCTCTCCATATTACTGGCGCATGATTTCGGTGTGAGCACTGTGTGTGTCGTGCTTGCTTGGTTGGCAGTGGCCAACAACATACCTAACACAACAGTGTCCAAGAACAGTTGTGCAAAAAGAATAGCGGCGCCCCCTTCTCCTACCATTTGTGATCTGTGATCTGTTGAGGGTCCGCCCGCAGGCGCATTTTGTATACCGAGGCGGTGCCCGGTGCCGAACCTGTCGGACCTTTTAAGACAGCATTTTGTAGATCCCTGGGCGAGGCGGTGGTGGAGACTCCTACCATTTGTTTGGTATTGTTTACCCCACCTGCAACCTCTCTTTAAGGATCACGGGGGATGACATCCTGCTTCCGCCTTCCCGGCACGCCGAGAGGGAGGTGGTTGCTCCGCCGCCGGACCCCCCCCTCCACCACCCTCGCCCAGGGATTTACAACGCTGTCTTAAGGTCCGACCTGTGGGTTCTGCCTGCGCTCGGCACCGGGCACCGCCTCGGTATACAAAATGCGCCTGCGGGCGGACCCTCACACACAGATCACAGATCACAGGAACCCTTTGTCCTGGCTCTCACAAGCTAAAGATGTTCACGGGCCCCCACAGGGATCTCCCCGCATGGGGAGCCCCGGGTACTCTTTAGCTGTACTCGTCTAGGCAGGGGTTGTCTCATGACAACAATAGAAGGCTTCATAGAGAACCCCCAAAAAGGGGCCCAAGGGGCCAAGCGCCAAGGTCGTCTCTCTCCCCCTAGCTCTCCCCGTTTTTCACTCACTGGCACAGTGTATATGCGGCTCCTACCACCTCCTCCCATCACCAGCCCTGTCTCCCCCCTCCCTGATAGCCGCTCACCCGTCCTTTGTCCTTTCCCGCTCCAGTCTCAGAGCCACAGCCCACCGGCCTGGATCCGCGTCTTTGGCATCTTGCGCGTGCTCGCCGCAATCAGCGAGTAGTTGCGCGGCGTCGGCGTGTAAAAGTCCTTTTGCGACTCATACGACGTGCGCGACCACTCCACCTAAAGGTTGCACCAGCGCCGTGAGGAAGCGCGCTGGACTGCGAGGCGAGCAGCGCGGCCGCCCCGCCGTGAAGTCGCCGGCCGCGATGCCGCCGATGCGGGACATAGTCTTCTCGATAGTCGCGTACGAGATGAAGTTGTACCCGCACACGTCCGGGTCGTTGATGTGCTCGAGCTTGCTCGGGACCATGATCGAGGAGAGGTCGTCGAGGAGGAGGGGCGGAGCACACACCTGCTCACAAGCTCGTCCGCGTGCGGAGTGCGCCCCTTCGTACTACGCCACGAAGGAGCGGCGGCGCGCGGGCCTCTGGGTGGCCGTCGCCGACGAAGCAAGCAATGAACAGCCCATCCCCGTCCCACTCGGTGAGATTGTTGAGAAAGTAGGTCCCACCCTTGACGCAGACGGTCCCGGAGGCGACAAAGTTCGAGTTGTCGGAGCAAGTCAGGTTGAGCGGCTGGTGCGCCTGCTTGGCGTCGAGGACCGCCTTGGCGCCGACGCACTCCTACTCGAACCCACAGCAGTCAAGAGGCGCCGCCAAAAGCCTTCGCCGCACGACTCTCTGCGTCACGGCGCTGTGCCTCGACGCTGCTGCACGTCGCCCAGACCCGCGGGCTGTGCGGGTTCGGGCAGACGAGCGCCTCGTCCTTCTCGCTCACCTCGCGCATGTACCACGCGGCCGAGTGTGATCCATGGCCCGTGGCGCCGTGCGCAAAGCCGAGCCCGTCCTTCCACGAGTTGCGCACCTACGGCCGAGGCGGAGCAGAGTGGGCCGGCCGATGATGGCCCGGGCCGCACCGTGCACGCATGGCGCACGATGAGGCCGCCCTTGTTGCCCCACTCGTCTGTGTAGCTGTCCGAATATCCGACAGCGTTGATGGCATGGCCGCCGAGGACTAGCTGCTTGCCGTTGGGGCGGTGGTACCACTCGCCCGCCATCGTCACCGCGGCGCGCGTCTGCGGGATGCAGCAGGCGATGCCCACAAAGGCCCTGGTCAGCGGGCAGGGAACGCACTGGTCGCCCTCCGGGTCGCAACCCTTGTAGGTTTTGGCGGTGGCCTTCGTGCATGGGAAGAAGAACTCAGCCTTCAGCACGGAGATGGAGAAGGTGAGCGCGCGCTTCTTCTCAATCAGCGCGCGCTGCATGTCGGGAATGTCGTAAAAGATGTCGGCGCGCTTGACCTTGAACTCGAGCGGGTTGGTCTGCAGCGCGGCCTCCATGCCCTCGCACACCTTCTCGCCGGTCGCCGAGACGGTGTATGGGCAAACGGAGCCGGGGAGGGCTTTGGTGCCCAGCTCCTTTAGGTACCACAGCAGCTTCTCGTCGGCCCAGTTGGTCGTGTTCCCCCAGGCGATGACCGACCCGTCCGCGCTGGTCGTGGCCGGGCACAGCCCACTCGGGTGCTTCTTGCAGATGTCCATGATGGATATGCCGAGCGACTGCCGAGAGAGGTACAGGTACATGTCCTCGCTCAGCCAGCCGCGCTCGATGCCCTGACGGCGGTACGAGTCCTCAAGCACGCCGACGATGGCGAAGAGCCAGCAGTTGGCGCGCGAGCCTTGGTCGACGGGCGGAGTGAGGCCTCCAATGAGGTACTTTCCCGGCTTTTCGAGCAACTTGCCCTTGATCTTCAGATGACTCAGCTGCACGGCTTCAGTCGCTGGTGAGAGCTGCAACGTCAGCGGGGCGACCGCCGACTGCAACTCTCCAACTCGGTGAATGGAGATGAGTTGGAGGCAAGAGAGGACGAGTGCAGTGGCCGCAAGGGCCGTCCAAGTCCACCACTGTCGCCCAGCGGCGGGTATGACGTGCTCCTGCAGCAACGGTCTCTCCATCTCGGCTCCCGACCGTCGTGGTTGCTCGGCCGTCCGTTTTCCTTGGCGGACTGTTTTTTTCTTTTTTAAAGGAAGCGGTTCAAACCTGCGAGGTATTTTTAATACCAGCTAATGTCACAACAGCAGGATTTACCTGCCTACCCCGACGATGGATCGTTAATGCTCAACCGCTGCCTCGAGTAAATAAAAATCCTTGCAGCAACTTTCGCGCGGGTGCACCTAGTCCGCATTCCGTCGGCGGCCGCCGCCTCCCAGCGCGCGCGTGACACCGGAATGTCGAGTCGAGCAGGGCATTGCCTGCGGCAGACTGCTCGCTACCCAGCCTTGCGCTGCGCACGGAGGCACGCAGGGAGACGGGTTGAGCTACCGCCTCCTCCGAGAGCCACTCCAGTCAACCGGCGACTAAGTGGAGCAGCAGCCGCGGCGGAGCCCGCCGCCGAGCCCTCCCCGCCACCGGCCGTGGTGTGGGAGGGGCCAAAGCTGGAGCAAATCCCGCGCGGCTCCTTCTTCTCCTTCCTACGGGAGTACGGGCAGTGGGAGAGGGCGGCGGAGCAGCCGGCGCTGAGCTGCAGCACCACCGGCAGGACGCTAACCTTCCGAGACCTCGAACGGCGAGTTGCCAGCGCGGCGGCCGCCCTCGCGCGGGAGGGCTTTGGTAGAGGCGAGCACGGGGCGAGGGGATCGTTTCTCTTCTTCTCCCGGGCTCTCTCGTCGGCCACGCCTCGGCGCCAATCACATTTCAATCGCAGACATCTACGGATCATTGATTGATGTTCACCCTGCCCGCAGCCTACATTCGACCTGAGCCACCGGCACCCCTCGCCCAGGCGACATCCTCAGCATTCATCTCCCAAATTGCGAGCAGAATGTGATCGCGTTCCTCGCCGCCACGGAGCTCGGAGGCACCGTCACCCCCTCCAATCCCGCCTACACTGCCGCCGAGCTGGCGCAGCAGCTCGAGACCGCGCGCGCAGTCGCGGTCCTGAGCACGACGTCGGTGCGCGAGACGGTGGACGCCGCCGCTCTCCAGGCGGGGGTGCGGCGCGTCAGCTACGTCGAGGAGCCGGACTGTTTTGCGAATTCACTGTGCCCCGACGCGCTGCTGCCAGCCACACCAATCGACGGGGCGCGAGACCTCGTCGCGCTTCCCTTCTCGAGCGGCACCACGGGCAAGCCCAAGGGCGTGATGCTGAGCCACCGCAACCTCGGCGCCAACGTCCTGCAGTCCCTCTCGCACGAGGACCTGCGCCACGATGTGCGCGCCGGCGACCGGCTCATCGGCGTGCTTCCTCTGTATCACATCTACGGCATGCTCATCCTCGGCTTCAGCCTCGCCTCGCGCGCGCACCTCGTGCTGCTGCCAAAGTTCGAGCCGCTGCCCTTCCTCGAGGCAATGCAGCGGCACCGCATCACCGGCGCCTCCACGTGACGATGAACCGCCGGGTGTGACGCGATTGCCGTCCAGCGTGGCAGCTTGCTATAGGCGCCTTCATCGTGCCGCCCATCATCCTCTTTCTCGCCAAGCACCCGCAGGTCGCCGAGTACGATCTCTCGGCGCTCCGCTTCATCGTGACTGGCGCGGCGACCCTCGACGCTGGCACGCAGGTGGCGGTGTCGGAGCAGCTCGGCGTGCCCATCAGGCAGGGTTGGGGGATGACTGAGGTCTCGCAGGCTGCCTTCTCGCCGCTCTCGTTCCCTCCCGTGCCCGGCTCCTCGGGTCGCGCGCTGCCGGGGACCCGGCTCAAAGTGGTGGACCCGGACACGGGCGCGCCGCGCGGCGTGGGCGAGAAGGGCGAGCTGTGCGTCTCGGGCCCGCAGGTGATGGTCGGCTACCTCGACCGGCCTGACGAGACGGCGCGAACCGTGCGGGACGGGTGGGTGCACACTGGCGACCTTGGCTACGTCGACGGGGAGGAGAATGTCTTCATCACCGGCCGCGTCAAGGAGCTCATCAAGGTGAAGGGGATGCAGGTCGCGCCCGCCGAGGTGGAGGGCCGGATCCTCGAGCACCCCGACGTGAGCGACGCCTGCGTAGTGGGCGTGCCGGACGAGCGCGCGGGGGAGCTGCCAAAGGCGTTTGTGGTGCGGCGGACGGGCGCGACCGGCCTCGACGAGCAGGCGGTGAAGGCGCACGTCGCCGAGAGGCTCGCCTCCTTCAAGGTGCCGGCGATGGTAGAGTTCATCGACACCGTCCCGAAGTCGCCGAGCGGCAAGATCCTGCGCCGGCTCCTAGCATGAGCCGGGTGAGGAGGAGCGGTGTTTCTCCCTATTTTGTGCAATATTTGTACATGCTGTCTCTCCACTATTGACGCACATCACGCAACAGCCAACACAATCCCACCGACATAAAGCAGAAAGGCCGGGGCGGTAGAGGCGTCTGAGCCGATGGTACATTCGAGATTCGTGCCCACCCCCCGGCCCCGCGAACCAAACTCCCCCGCCACGCACATGCCCATTGCTACCCCGCCCCCTATGGCGGGTCTCGCCAACTCCCAGGCTAGCTCCCACGAAGCCCGCGCCGCGATGCATCCGGCCGGGCGACGCTCGCCAGGGCTCTCCAAAAATCGGCGCTGAGGCGGCCTGGCGTGGGGAGGCGCGCGCAGGATTCCTCTACCCCCCCCCCCCCCCCCCCCGCGGCCCCTGCGGGCTCCCAGCTGTGCAACCACCCGCGCATCATCCCCAGGTGACGCAGTGCATCTCGTCTGTGTACCCGTCGACGATCGGGTTGGGCTGCGGCTCGAGCAGGAACGCAAAGGCCTGCTCACAGCCGCACGAGTGAAGTGGATGCACAGCCGGCGACGCGAGCGACGCGGCGAGCGCCGACGAGGGCCACGAGGGCGGAGCGATCAGCGCCTCCTCCCGCGCGTCGCACGGCGACTCTTTGCCTGTGCGTGAGGGAGGCAGAGGGGCGCATGTGAAGCCGCGTACGTAGTGCTGTGCATCGCGCCGACGCCACGTGTTTTGAGACAGGTGGTCGAAAGGACCGCGCGAGGCCGAGCCATGGCGCCAGAACTACTACTGAAGCGGCATGGCGGCCTCCCAGCGACCACAGGGGGAGGTGGGGCTGAGCTGCCGCATTCTACGGACTCCTTGCCACCCAGGCCGAGGCGCGCGCAGCGGGTCGCGCCCCCCTCGCCCCTGACCACGTACTCGCTGCCCGCCGAGCCGGTGCGCCACGCCTCGTCGCCGACGGCGCCGTGCAGCCGCGTGTACCTGCTCACAAGCAGGTGTGAAGAGAGACGGTGCACGGATCGCCGACAGCGGGCAGCAGCGTCGTGTGCCGGAGCGAGAAGGAGTCCTTCTGCCGCGCCGCCGTCGCGAGCAGCCGGCGCAGGCCGAGCGCGGAGAGGGTGTGGCGGCGAAACCGCGGCGGCGGGCGGCTCCGCCTGGCGGAACTCGACTTGGCCGCCCAGACGTACTCTGCGGGCACGGCCGCCACCTGCGACGGGATCATGCAGAGGGGGCGCGCAACGAGGGCGCGGTCTGTGCATCGCCTGCTGCTTCGGTGCGGGGTGAGAGTGCGGATTCCCAGACGGCGGCGGCCAGACTCCGGCGCATTCAAGCGCCGCCATGAGAGCTTGCCATCTACGCCCCCCCACCTCGCGGATCAGCCGGAGCGTGCGCGGCCCCATGTGCTCTGCGAAGGTGTTTCCGACCCACTCGAGGTCCGTCTCCTGAGGCAATCGAGTCACGCTCACTGTGACACGCCCCCGCCGCCCGCCGCCTTCTCTCCGCACGAGCGGCGCCTCGATGCGGACCACGCCGCCCGCGAAGGCGTTCGTCGGCTCGGCGGAGGCGAGCCTGCAGCGCGGGCGGACGAGGGGCTTCGAATGCAAGCTTTCGAAATCAGCGCCGTGCAGTGCCGGCGCATCGGTGAAGTACAAGGCCACTGGCTGTACTGGCGTCGGCATTCTCCCGCATCTAGGAACATTCTAGGAACATTCTCCCGCATCTAGGCCGCCGAGCTCGCGCTGCAGCAGCGACGTGGGGAGCAGGAGGTGGTTGGAGCCGCCGTGCAGGCGCAGCTGCGAAAACATCAGGCAGCCAGCCTTCTCCTGCAGCCCCGCCTGCTCACGCCGGCGAGAGCGTCAGCGGTGTCACGCGCCAACCACCTCTCCGCCGCAGCAGGGCCCGCCACGGGCAGCGCGAAGGCGTACAGCAGCGCGAGCGCGACGAGCCCCCGCAAAGCAGGCCCCTCCCTCGTCCTCCCCTCCACCTCGCGGCTCTGCGGGAAAGGTGGGGAGAAGGGTTAGAGAAGGCCCCCCCCTCCTCCGCCCCTTCTGCCGGCGGGCTCTGCCTTCTCCTTCTCCGCGGGAAGACCGCCCTCGCTGCCGCACGCCGCCTCGCCGCCGCCTGCCGCCTGCTCGCAACCGGCCGGGGGCGTGAAGCGGCGCCCCGCACACGCTGCCCTCCCCCTCTTCGCCGCCCGCCGCCTCGAGGACCGCGGCGCGCGTGAGCAGCACTGCCAGCGCGGCGTACCAGCCGGCGTGCCAGTCCTTGCCCTCGCCCTGGACCGTGCTGATGGCGACGGCGTGGTAGGGCTCGACGAGGGCGAGGGTCGCCTGCCCACAAGCAGAAGGCGTGCAGAGACGCCGTTCACAGCCAGTGCCACGGGGCGGCGCAGAGGGACGAGGTCGCCGCTGCGGCAGCAGCCATGCCGGCGCAGAGGAGGGCACCGGCGGCGGTATGCGGCCGTCCCATCTCGCCGACGGCGGCGGCGGCGGCGTCTGATGGCGCGGGGCGGGGGCAGGCGCTTCACCGGTGCAGAAGGAGAGGAGAGGTGGGTGCATGATCTGCAGGTGGTGACCTCGTGTGATCTCGTGGTGATCTCGTGTGATCTGCAGGTGGTGACCTCGTGTGATCTCGTTGTGATCTCGTGTGATCTGCAGGTGGTGACCTCGTGTGATCTCGTGGTGATCTCGTGTGATCTGCAGGTGGTGACCTCGTGTGATCTCGTTGTGATCTCGTGTGATCTGCAGGTGGAGACCTCGCCTGGGAAG